GCCAGGCGTTGGGCGCCTGTAGTCCCAGCTACTTGGGAGGCGGAGGCAGGAGACTCGCTTGAGCCCAGGAGTTGGAGGCTGCTGTGAGCTGTAATGCCACGGCACTCTACCCAGGGGGACAGCTTGAGGCTCTGTCTCAAAAAATAAAAAATAAAAAATAATTTAATTTTTTGTTTATTTGTTTTGTTTTTTTCAGACAGAGTCTTACTTTGTCACCCTGGGTAGAATGCCATGGCATCATAGCTCACAGCAACCACAAGCTCCTGGGATCAAGCAATCCTCTTGCCTCAGCCTCCTGGGTAGCTGAGACTATATGCATCTGCCACAACGCCTGCTATGTCTTCTGATTTTAGTAGAAATAGTGTCTCACTCTTGCTCAGGCTGATCTTGAACTCCTGAGCTCAAGCAATCCACCCGCCTCAGGTTCCCAGGGTGCTAGGATTAAAAGTGTGAGCCTCTATGCCTGGCCAAGAAATTTAATTGTTAAATGTATACATTTCTAATCAGGAATGTCTATGTGGGCTACAATTTGATCAAGTTTTTCATTCCTTTGGTAATATAATTTTATTTTACATTTTCAAAGCCTACCTATTCACTGGTGTGTAATGGTCCTCCCCCCAAAAGCCTACCTGGTTATAGATTCACATGTTTTGAATATTTTCTCTTATAGGGGAGAACTGAACCCATCACTGCGGTGAAGCTGCTGAGCTGCTTCGATGACCTTGTGGCAGCAGGCACAGCCTCAGGCAGAGTCGCAGTGTTTCAGCTTGTCTCTTCCTTGCCAGGGAGAAATAAGCAGGTAAGAACTCACCATTTTAGCACTTTTTGACTTCTTGGCAAATTCATCGTTGATTTTAAAATGAGAATTCCTCATCTGCCTTGAAAATGTGTGCTTAGAAAAGCTTAACATTGTGCTGTTTATAATTGGGTAACATTTTTAGTCCTGGTTGGACTCTTGGTGTAAAGCACATATGGGTAATTTCAGTTTTGCTTAATATTCTTTTGGTGTGTTCTCTGTGGGTTGTGCGGGTGAATAGACAGATGGAACCTCATGCAGAGTTCTGCATGGAAAACAAGACTGGAGAAAATAGCTCTTCCATAAATAGTAGCGTTTGTGTATTACCTTGTCCATATAACCCTAGATCACAGCATTTATCCTTTTCTTTTCCTTATGTGTATTTTTACCATTTATTCATAGCTTCGAAGATTTGACGTTGCTGGTATTCATAAAAATAGCATTACAGCTCTGGCTTGGAGCCCCAATGGAATGAAATTGTTCTCTGGCGATGACAAGGGGAAAATTGTTTATTCTTCTTTGGATCTAGACCAGGTAAAATTATTTTTAGAAATATTGTTGGCTCTTGCCTTCTTACGTTTTGGAAAATCATTTGCATAATTATATTTTTGGTTAGCTTGTATTTTCAGTCATAGTCCCTCTATAATCTTGTTATTTATAACATTTTCTTTCTTTGTTAATCTTTTAAAATTTATTTATTTATTTTTTTTTTAGAGATAGGGTCTCACTCTATCATGAGATAGGCTTAAGTGCAGTGGCATGATCATAGCTCACTACAGCCTAAAACTCTTTCCCGTAGCTAGGACTATAGGAACATACTGTCATGCCTGGCTAACATTTTCTTTCATGTACTTTTCTAGTGTTTTATAAAGTCCTACTTCTGTGACTGAAAAGTTGGCCTACTGGAATATTTACTTTTTTCAGTCTACTATTGTATATTACTACTACTTTAAAGATAAGCTATGATTCTTAATTCCTGAAAATTCAGTAGGAGTGATGCCAGGCATTTCCCAATCATAATTGTGGACAAAGGTTCATGAATTCAGTGGGTAGAAAACTCACTACTAGCCATGCCTGGCCTGTGTGAGATGATCTCATGTAACAGGTAGTGGCAGAGGAGGAGATTTGGCAGCAGCATGGTCCTTAGTCCCTACCTTGTACATATTTGTTATTTCTTCCTTGCAATAGTGCTTGAAGGTATGTGTTCTTATTCCCAGGCAAATGAGAATGGGAAATTGTAGCTCCAAGAGATCCAGTAACTAGCCCAGGAGTACAAACTCACTTTCAAACCAAGGTTCTGCTCTGAAGCCCACGCCTTTTCTACTGCATGTGTGGCATTATGATTGCCTGTGTTATGTTTTGTTTGTTTTGCCGTGTTTCTTCCAGTTAGACTGAGCTCCTTGGTGTCATGATCCTTTCTTTTTCTTATTTTTAGCCTTCATTTATTGTGCTTTATAGGAATTCAGCAATTAGCAGTATTTCTCAAACTTTGTAGTCTCAGAACCCCTTTACACTCTTATAAAGAGGACCCCAGAGAGTTTTTGTTTGTATGGGTTGTATCTAAACAAGTACACTATGTTAGAAATTAAAACTGAGAAATTTAAAACATATTTTGAAATAATAATAAATCTGTATGTTAATATAAATAACATATTTTGTGAAAATAATTTTTCAAACAAGTGGAAAGTGGCATTGCTTTATATTTTTACAAATCTCTTTAATATCTATCTTAATATAAGACAGTTGGATTCTGCATTCAATCTGTTACAATACATTGTTTTGGTTGAAGTATCTGAAAAAAGATCTATCTTTACACAGACAAGTAGATGGAAATAGGAGTGTTATTATGTCGGCTTTTCAGATAATTGTGAATATTCTTCTTTAATAATATCCTCAAATCGACAGAAGATAGTTTCTTTAAAGGTTACAATTAAAAATGACAAATGGTAGTTTCTTTAAAGGTTAGTTACAATGTGGAATCTGAAAACATAATGGGCATATTTTCTGTGCTTTGTTACATTAAAATCTATTCCCATGTATGATTTTGAACATTGTGTATTGGTCACTTGGAAAATATTGGTCATTTGGTTAATAGAGTGATGCAGCACTTCCGAATACTGATACATTTTATTATATAATGTCAAAGCACCTTATGACTAGCATTCTGATTAGAAGAGTACTATTGAGAATCTGGTCAAGTTTACTGGGACAGATACGAGTTTTCAAAATTCTAATCTTCACTTGGAATGAAAAATTACCCTCACTTGTAATTACCCTCACTTTGGTTTTTTGCTTTTTTTAGAAAATGTCTCCTTAATACCCAAGTTTGAATAATTACAGTATTTCAAGTAAAAAATTGTGTCCTGTGAAAAAAGCAGCTGTCTCAGCTTACAGTTCTAACGTTTGCACAAGAGCTTTTCCTTGAGAGAACCAGTATATTCAGTGTGCAGAAGGGCTGTGTGTTCTTTTGTCACTTAGAATACAAAAATATCTGCCCTCAAGGATCAAGATTTAGTGACATTATAATTTTCTTCATCAAAGCCCTTCTCAAGTGCACACGTTTTTGCTGTGAGTGTGTGGTGGTGAAGGGTGGCAACTAGTAGAGTTTGGTGCTGCTGCCTTGATTTGGGCAAGGTTCCAAGTAGCTCTTCCCAGTATGGCTCTTGTACTATCAATGCAAATGTCAGCCCAGTGAGAAAGACAGATAACATCTTCAGATTATTTTGACCTGTAGACCACTTGAAAGGGTTTTAGAGAAACCCTCTAGGCATGTGGACCTCACTTTGAGAACTGCTCCGTAGGAAAATATTTTGTTAAGGTTATAAAGGGTCCATTGTCCTTGTACTTTCCTGCTGCCACAGCCATAGTTATTGCTATGTCTTTCACCCCCTCCCCTAACCCTGTGGGCAGGCTTCTGAGGAAACAGAAGACACTCTCATGTACCACCATTCACGAAAGAGAGAAAAAAATCAGATTTGAAAAACGTTGTTCATCATTTTTTGGCCAAATTGTCTGATAATTATTTTAAAAGGCAGAGTGCTTAAATAAGATTTGTAAAAAAGGTATGGGAGAATGCATGTTTTGCAAAATATGGCATAATAAAACCCTGTAAAAAGCTAAGTGAAGGCTTGGCACCTGTAGCACAGTGGTTACGGCACCAGCCACATACACCCGGAGTTGGCGGGTTCAAACCCAGCCTGGCCAGCTAAACCAACAATGACAACTGCAACAAAAAATAGCCAGGTGTTGTGGCTGGTGCCTGGAGTCCCAGCTACTTGAGAGGCTGAGACAAGAGAATTGCTTAAGCCCAAGAGTTTGAGGTTGCTGTGAACTGTGACACCACAGCGCTCTACCAAGGGCGAGATAGTGGGAGTTTGTCTCTTAAAAAAAAAAAAAAAAAAGCTAAGTGAAAAGCTGAAAAAACTATATTCTGAGTAACTTCCAAGTAGGGGGACCTATGATGAAATTTCTCCATGTTGATTGTGATGGTGGTCATATCACCACGAATTTGTCAAAATTTATAGAATTGTGGCTTGGAGCCCATGGCTCAGCAGTTAGGGCACCAGCCACATGCACTGGGGCTGGTGGGTTCAAACCCAGCCTGGGCCTCCTAAACAACTACAATAACAACAAAATAGCTGGCGTTGTGGCTGGCACCTATAGTCCCACCTACTCGGAAGGCTGAAACAAGAGAATCGCTTAAGCCCAAGAGTTTGAGGTTGCTGTGAACTGTGATGCCATAGCACTTATCGAGGGCACCTCTGTCTCCAAAAAAAAAAAAAAAAAAAATTATAGAATCATATACCTAAAAAAGGGTAAATTCTACTCTATATAAATTTTATCAATAAATCTGACAGATGCTCCTTTCCCTTGAAAAAAAGATATATTGCCCCAATATTTTATAACCAATTGATGAAACTGCTTCAGGGGAAAAATAATTCACAAATCAGATTCTTAACACCCTGAAGTATAGTTTGTGTTAGCAGTAGAATGGCTTTTATAATTTTATTTTGTGTTTATATATAATATTATATATATTACCATTTTATATTAATACCATTTGAATTTCTTTGCCCCTTCCAGTTGGCACAGATATAATGTCCTCAAAACTGCTTTGAATTTTTTGTGAGGGGAAAGTCTAATATGAACTTTGAGTGCTAATCATTGTCATGATAATTTTATAGCGAGTCCAATTCCAGACCTTGTGGCTCACACCGGTAATCATAGCACTTTGGGAGGCTGCAGAGGGTGGATAGCTTGAGCTCATAGATTCAAGACCAGCCTGAGCAAAAATTGAGACTCCTCTCTACTAAAAATAGAAAAACTAAAGCAAGAGGGTCATTTTAGCCCAAGAGTTGAAGGTTGCTGTGAGCTATGATATCACAACATTCTACCCAGGGCAACAGCTTGAGAGTCTATCTCAAAAAAAAAAAAAAAAAAAGTCCTATTCCATTGTGTTTTATAATAGAATACAGTAATACCTTGGAATGCGAAGTTAATCTGTTCCAGGATCCCATTTGAGTTCCAAGATAATTTTTTCCCTATAAAATAATAGAAACTGGATTAATCCATTCCTGGGTCCCACAAATTCTAATTTTCAAAATGATTTTAATAGTAAATACTCTGGGCACGATGCCTATGGCTCAAGGGTTTAGGGCGCTAGCCACATACACCCAGGCGGGTTCGAACCCAGCCCAGGCCAGCTAAACAACAATGACAGCTGCAACAAAAAAATAGCCAGGCGTTGTGGCAGGCACCTGTAGTCCCAGATACTTGGGAGGCTAAGGCAAGAGAATCACTTAAGCCCAAGAGTTTGAGGTTCTGAGCTGTGATACCGTAGCACTCTACTGAGGGCAAAATAGACTCTGTCTCAAAAAAAAAAAGAAAAAAGAAAAACAGTAAATACTCTGGATTTTAAGGTAAAATATTAACAAATAATATTTGAATAAAAATATAAAGGCTTGTTTCACCACAATTGAATACTTGTTTCAAAGCATACCCCTGACTGTTCACAAACTCCTTAAACTCCTTTACAAACTTTTCCCCTGCTTGTGAATTAGAACTGGCAGCCTCTCCATGCATAACAACATTATGGATCCCAGTCTTTTTCTTAAAGTTTTTGAACCACCCCCTTCTGGCTTTAAACTCCTCCTTTTGAGCACTAGTATCAGGCGTGCCTTTCACTAATCATCTCAGAGGACCTTGGCTTTCTCATAAATTATCATCTCAGAAATCACAACACCAGCCAGCTGTGATTAATTTCATTAATCTAAACTAAGAGAAGTTTTTCCATTTCTTCCATACTTTTTGTTCACCACATCAGCTGCTTTGATAGCATCTTTATTTTTCAAAATCATATAAACAGTCGATTTAGGCATCCCAAACATAGTAGCAAGATCAGCCACCCGGGTACTGCTTTCATACTTAAATAAGATCTTTCTTAACTTCAGTTGTAGTTCTAACAGCTTATCTCCTATTCTAATTTTCCTCTCTACACTTTTTAGGACACGTGGCAAATACATTTAGTTGTTACTATATTAAAAAAATAACACAAAACATGCAGAAAAGCATATAAGTAGCAGTTAAAATCACACAAGATGCTTTGACTACAGCTTCTGACAACGAACTGAACAACAAAGTACATGGGTGGCCTGAGCGCTGGGGAACATACACACAGGAACACATGAGCAACATGCTGGGCATTTGGATTCCAAAGCAGCATTCAGATTTGGGGCAGAATACACTCGAATTTTTTGTTAAGATTCCAAATTGTGCCAGGCACAGTGGCTCACACCTGTAATCCCAGCACTGTGGGAGGCTGAGGAGGGAGAATTGCTTGAGCTCAGGAGTTCGAGACTCACCTGAGCGACCCCGACTCATGAGAAAAATGGAAAAACCCAGCTGGGCTCTGTGGTGAGTACCTCTAATCCCAGCAGCTTCTGGAGGCTGAGGCAGCAGAATGCCCACAAGCTGGAGTCTGAGGTTGCAGTGAGCCACCAAGCTACTGCACTCTGCAAAGGGTGGGACTGTGTCTCAACAACAAAAAAGATTCCAAGTTCTTCGAGTTCTGGGGTGTTTGGATTCTGGGGGCAATACTACAAATAATATGCACAGTATGACATTTCTATTTAGATCTTTATAGATTCTTCTTTGAACTGTCTACTGAGAACATTTTAAAAGAAAGTGTATAGATTTTTAAATGTTTTTGTCAAACTTGATGTAGCAAGAGATAGATTAGTATTGACTATTTTCTCATTAGTATGGATTTTTCCAAATAATCTTACTGCAGTGAGTTGACACTAAATTTGAAGAGAATTAAAGCATTTGTCATAAGGTGTAAATTGACCTAAATACTACTAGCAGGAAGGATGCTTGCCAGTTATAACAGAAGTCAGGTTACTGTAGCTTAGCACTGATATTAGCTTTAACTGGACTTTTTCTGACAGGGCATTTGTAACTCCCACTTGGTGTTAGAGGAGCCTTCTTCAATTGTGCAGCTGGATTATAGCCACAAAGTACTGCTTGTGTCTACCTTGCAGAGAAGTCTGCTTTTTTACACTGAAGAAAAATCTGTCAAGCAAATTGGAACACAACCAAGGAAAAGGTAAGTTTCACAAGTATTCCAATTTGGCCTGAATGTTGGACCTTGTGCAGAAGGTGTCTTGGGTTTTCTTGGATTGTCCATTTTCCAGTTGCAGGCCCATGACGGTCTAAGCCCAGGGTTTCTAAGGGTCCCATATCTGTCTGGGACTCTTCCTCTCAGCGTCAGATAGGAAGTGTAAGTTTTTTGGACTGAGGAGTTACAGGACCCTGCAGGTGCAGCTACTCTGCCTCAGAGGGTGCTCCAATCTGTGGAGAAGCCTGGGACATCTGGTCTTTGTATTAGATCTTTATGGATTCTTCTTGGAACTATCTACTGAGAACATTTGAAAAGAAAGTATACAGATTTTTAAATGCTTTTTGCCTCCTCGTGGCAGGCACCCCCTCTACACAGTACTAGGAAAGAGTTAGGGGCATGACACTCAGTGAATGTTTGCCAGGTGTCTCTGTGGACTGTGGCAGGCTTGGGGATGATGCAGTGAACATGGCAGATCTGAGCCCTCTACTGTGGAAACTGAAATGCAGACAAACACTTATTAACAATTGTGTTAGCTGTCTATGGACCAACATACAGGGTGCTGTATGAGTTTCAACAGCCTTCTCTTTAGCTGAGGGATCAGAGGAGACTGCCTAAAAGCATGGGGTATGCAGGGTGAGTGGGATAAGCCAAGGAAAGGGAGGTTCCCCTTCAGATTGCTCTTCCTTTAACCAGCTACCTGGAGGGAAGACAGCAAAGAGAAGTCCACCTGCCATAGCTGCTAGGTGGAAGAAGGCAGCTGGATTCCATGGGTGATCTGTAAAGCGTTGTCCCTACCCAGCTCATAAATCATGCCTGCAGAATTCTACAGCCAGCTTTCATGGGGATGGGCTGAGGAAGTGGGTTAATACAGTGGTAGAGCTACTTATCCCCCTTATCCTGAGAAGAGGGAACAAGGAGTCAAGATGGCAATGGGGGGAATAGAGGGTGGTTGTAGATTGGCAGATGGGAATTGGAGGATTTCCTATGTTGTGTCTTCCAGGAAAGGGCACTATTGCTTACTGAGAATCCCGGCAGGGCATTGGATGGAAGGGAACATGGAGAGGGTTTGAGGCTGGCGCTGGGGGAGAGTGAGAGCAGTCAACTTGGAAACTTGCTGAGATTGGCAGGCATGGATGAGAGCCCGAGGCTGGTGGTGCCATCCGTGACAGGCTGTTGGGGAGGGTCTAGGGAGGCCAGATGGGTGGAACCAGCTGCTGTGGTCATGCTCACAACCCGTTACTCTGTGTCCTATGCTTTATAGCAACACAGTGGAAGTTTATTCTCTTATCTGCATGGCAGCTCTTTAGTGGTTGAAAGACACTCTTACACCTGCCCTTCAGCTTCTGTTTTGCATGCTGAATACTTTCTTAAGTCCATCAACAATCTGGCCATTTTATAATAACAGTCTTTCCATGGGCCCCTGGAGAACTCAAGTGAGGTTTGTAGCTCAGACACAAACCTCAGCAGTTTGGAAATAGAAAGGAAAGAATAAAGTATAAGTGGCTCTGCAGAACTTAGCTCTGACTTTCCCTCTGTGATATTCTACTCTTCTGCCCAGCATTTTGTCCCAGTTCATCTGTCAATGTCTTGCTTTATTGTCTTTTTGGAAGGAAGGCAGAGTGTAAAGAGAGAGATTTAAAAACCAGTTACCTTACACATGAGTCATGTAACAGTCTCACTTAACCAGCCTTCTAACTTCCTGTGTGGAGACCTGAGCAGTTTCTGTGAACCTCTCCAAACAGTGGTCTCTGTGGTCAGGTTTTTTGGTAACATTGATTAAAAGCATATTCTGTGCCAGGAGCTGTCCCAGGATACAGAAACAAGAAAATATGACCCCTTTCTCAGAAGGAGGGATATTTTATGGAGCCATAGAGAAATGGAAGTTAACAAGGGAATAAATGGAAACATCTTAAAGGCTTGCCTTTCTGTTGTTACTAGCTTAGATGGTAGTAACAGCATCCATCCAAGCTCTTCTTTGAGATAGAATGGTGAGAAAGGGCGGTGATAGTTAAGCTGAAGCCTAAAGCCTGGGGGAAGAGCATTCCAGGCTTATGGAACTCCACATCCCACACTGGGATACAGGGGTCAGAGAGGAGGGTGCAGGGCACATGGGGTCTCTTTCAATAGGAAGACAGAGAGGGTTCCTGAGGGATGGCCTGAGCTTATTCCTAAGAAGACCTTGAGGCAGAGGGACCTACACACTAAGTATCTGAGTAGCAAGGCTGGGTGTGTTGCACAGGGGTTGGGGAGGACCTCTTCCCATAGGCTGTGTGGGCCCTGCTTAGAGTAGGGGGTGACTGCTTTTTGATTGCTGTAGCCAGTCATTAGAGGGTTATGACCAGGGAATGCCACTCTGGCTACTGTTTGGAAATATACCAGAAGGAGCCAGGCATAGTGGCTTATGCCTATAATCCTAGCACTCTGGGAGGCTGAAGCAGGTAGATTGCTTAAGCTCATGAGTTTGAGACCAGCCTGAGCAAGAGCAGACCCCATCTCTAATTTAAAAAAAAAAAAAATACTAGCTGGGCATTGTGGCAGGCCCCTGTAGTCCCCACTCCTCAGGAGGCTAAGGCAAGAGAGTCTCTTGAACCCAAGAGTTTGAGGTTACTGGGAGCTATGCCACCATGGCACTCCCTCTACCCAGGGTGACAGAGTAAGACTCTGTCTCCAAAGAAAGAAAAGAAATATACCAGAAGGGGCAAGAGTGGCAGTTCCAGGGGCTAGCAGTGGGGCTCCAGGTAATGAGGTGAAAGATGGTGAGGCCCGTGCTGGGGCAGGCAGGACAGGTGGTGGGAATGTACCCAAGGTAGTGCTGACACATTGGCTGCCACATTGGCTCTGGGCTGTGAAAGACAAGAGTCTGAGATGATTCCTTAGGTGGTGACCTGTGTGGCTGGCTAAGTAGAGATGATACATATTGATACAAAGAAGCCTGGACCAGAGGACGTTTTTTGTCATGTTTCCGGCTGTGGGAGGGAAAAGGAGATAAAACAGTCTGCTGTGGAGTCATAGAATCCTCTTCGGCCCAGTGGAGAGCTGGAGTGAGCAGATGGATACCCAGTGTGCGGCTTTCTTGCTCACTTGGGGAAGCCATGCACTGGTGCCATCAGTGTGTGGTAGAAAACAAAGGCTGGGGTTGGGAAGATGGGAGTGAGGTGTCAGAGGCCACATGGAGGGTCATAGTAGCTGTTGGGCCCTGAGATACAGGCTGAGACAGGACTTTGGATTGGACAGCAAGGAGGCCATGTGTGATCTCCCTTGTGAAGAGCAGGGCTGAGACATTGGAGGGTCTGAAAGAGGGTAAACAGTGAATACAGACATCTTTTTTGGAGGAATTTTTTTTTTTTTGTAGAGGGAAACACAGGAAGAGGTGGCTCCCAGAGGGGAACATGAGCTCCATCGGAGTTTTGGAAAAGGGACTGTTGCGGCATGTTGGTGTGTTGTGAGCAGGCCTGCAGAGGGAACACAGTGGTGGCGCAGAGTGCAGGTCACAGCCTCAGTAGAGCCCTCTCATGGAGGAGTTGGCCTGAAATCTGGCCAGGATGTTCTTCCAGAGGAACATGGGAGGTAGCAAGGAGGGGTCTTCTCATCAAGTCTGTGAGCCTCCTCAGACCAGACTATGTACATGTTACTTATGTTTCTGTGTATGTTACAGAAAACCTCAAGGCCAGGCCATCCCCAACTGTGAATTACAAGGCTGCTCTTTTTGTTCTCCCCTGTGTTTGTGTTGTATTATTCCATGTGTCAGATGTCTCTCCATACCCATGACTGGGTCTTCTGAAGTCCAGTCCTCAGGGAAGTCCTCTGTGGCAACAGTGCATTGCACATTGCAGTCAGCATTATACATGTGGAACCTGGGTCCATGTCAGAGCCAGTACCAGGTTCTGGAACAGTATCACTGTCGCCATGTCCGTTTTGCTGGTCTGCGGGCATCTGACTATTGAGATCAGCATCAGGCCTTCTTTGGATCCTTCTAGTCACCCATCATAGACTGTCATGCTCCCATTTTGGTCTCTGAATACACTATATATTATGCATAAAATTAGAAAACACTATGTGATGGTTAGAATTTGTAAACCAGAAAACACTTGTTTCATATTAATGTGGCCTGTAAATGGAAGTAAATATTTTTTGGTTTTGTTCTTTGAGATAGGGTCTCATCATGTTGCCCAGGCTGGCCTTAAACTCTTTTTTTTTTTTTTTTTTTTGAGATGGAGCCTCAAGCTATCCCCCTGGGCAGAGTGCCATGGCATCACGCTCACAGCAACCTCCAACTCCTGGGC